TGTCAAAGCACTACAGGTGGAAAGAAGCTTTGGTCTGATATAACACATCTTCCCTCTTTCTTCGATAAAAACATACTACTGAAATACCTTATGCTATAAAAGTACTGAACAAATACATGCAATGGTTGCCACAAGATGGCAGCTATCCTGTTTAATGCAGACAATAGAGTATTACTTTTTTAACAGCCAATTTCAAATTTCATTACGAAATACACTTCAGAGATATTAGTTTGTAACTGTCGAAATTTGTGCTTGTGTGAGTAATTTCATTGATAACTGCAATGTTCAAGTTAATTGTAACACAAACACACAACTTAAAAGTGTTTTACATGTGTTTAACTATGTCTACACACTCTGGCTTTAATACAGATATTATTTGCTCTCTTCATTTTGCTTTTTTGAAATACATGTTCCACTTTTTAACACTGTGATTGCCCTGTGTTCTTTGTTGGCGGCTCTACGGACGTGGGCCTCTTCCGAGCCCTCTTCCTTGGTGGGCCTTCAGAGTGGGAGTGGGAGCTGCTGGAGACTCTACGGACCAAAGCAGCCGCACCGCCCCACTACACAGAAGACCATCAGTTCCTGCTCTCTCTCTTTCCTCTCCTGCAAAGGGTGGCACCAGAGTCAAAAGAATTTGTGAAATTCAAAATGTACCAACTTTTATATGAAAGCAGCACCGTTCTGCTTAATTTGGAACCATTGGCCAGAACAGACAGTTTTTTGACCTAAGGTGACACCTTTTGCAGGGGAGGAAACAGACATGTGTCCCTTTCCTCTTCCACCGCACCTCCTCCAAGCAAGCTCCTTTTCATTTGTTTATATGTACATTTAATTTATTTTTCATTGTTTGTTCCTTTTTTTATAAAGAAAATATTTTTCAAACCTCATGTGTTCTACTTCAAGCCAACCATTACTACCTTTCATATAATACTGACAGAAAATGCTATTCCATATTTGTACATTTACTTTTATAAGAGCTGACTGGGTTTTATAGAAGATGGAATAACTAACACTTAAAGAGCGATACAGTAGTTGACAGTATTTTTTATTCATTTCACCTTTTACTGTTTTAACAACCTTGTAATTATGGAAAAGCTTGATTAACCTGAAGTTGGAGTGGAGTCGCAGTTGGCGGCCATCCGCTGCACGCCTGGAAGTGGTTCTTCACCGGCAGCAGCTCCCCTCGGTGCAGGAACCTGCCCATCTCCAGCCATCCTCATGGCTGGAGATGGGGAGGGCGCATTAAATTGCGGCGCAGTGGAAAGGCTTCATCTGCCACGAACACATGGGGCTGGGGTCCTCTGTGGTCAGCTCCAGGTATGCACTGGTCAGGAGGCAGGTCGAGTGCCCTCGCGCAGAGCCTCACCAAAGACAGAGTTGGACATGATGCCTCCATCGCTGGATCTGCCGTACCCTCCCACATCAATCACCCTGAACCTGTACTGGGCATCCACTACAGCCAGGAGCACAAGGGAATGGTGCCCCTTGTAATTAAAAAACATGGACCCAGAGTTGGGGGGTGCCTTCACAGCCACATGCTTCCCATCAATGGCCCCACAGCACAGAGGGAAGTTCCATCGGACCTCCACTCCTCTGCTCCAGGCACAGCCATGAACTCCTCCACGAGGCAGTCCCAGATGGCTGCCACCACATCTGGGATGAGCATGGAGACGGTGGATATGCCCACTCTGAAGCTCCCCGCAATGGTCCTGTAGGAGTCCCCAGTGGCAAGAAACCTGCAATTACAAAATGATATGAACATATTTATCACAATTACATTCATAAAAATCAAGTGACAAAACTTGTGTAGCATAAAATACGTTAAACTAGTAGACAGTAAACATCATAGACAGTAATCATAGACACCATATTGTTGCATAATACTGTTTTCTGAGCTATTACATTGTGGATTGTGATTGAAAAATGACACACTTTGTAAGTATTTATGAATTCTGAATGGGGTAAAAAACACTTACCGCAGACAGATGGACAGGCGCTCTTCAGCTGGAATAGAGCGCCTGTAGTTGGTGTCCTGGTAGGAGATCCTAGCGCCAATGCGGGTCAGTAGGTCGTCAAACTGAGCCAGGGAGAGACGAAAGTACCGCTGAAAGCGACCCTCATCCGAGCGCAGCTCCCGGAGCAAATGGTGAAACTCACCAAACTCCAACCATCTACGGACTATCTGATGAATCCAGACACGTCGTCGATTCGCCCTTTGACGACGTTGTCTGGCTTTATTTATCAGATAAAGCAACTCCTTCGCTGACATCCATGTTGGGAAGCTACAGGCAAAAGAGACAAGCCCCGCCCCTAAACGCTCTCAACGCTCTGTGACAGCGGCTGCCCTCTAGTGTCCTGGCCGCGCGGCCAAGTTTCTCTGTGACAGCGGCTGCCACAATTTGTCACAAGCGGCCCAAGCCGCGCGATAGACGCGATTTGGCCGCAGAAATCGCGTTTGGTCTGAACGCACCATTATGCAATAACCGGACATACTCCGCCTGTCATGGACATCAGCAGCCCAATCTGCATCACTGTATGCTCGGAGTCCCAACTGTCCATCACATCTCCTGTAACACAACTTTTTGTTACATGTGGCTTTGAGAAACCTCAGTACATGTTTAACTGTACCCCACTGTTGTTCAGTTGGTTTGGAAAAGTACTGTGACAGTTTGCTTACAACAAAGCTTAAATCAGGTCTAGTACAAACAGTTAAATAAATGTGACTTCCCACTGCTTCCCTGTATTTTTTAACATCACTCATTATTGGAGCAGTGTCTTCATAATTGAACTTTTGTTCGCAGGGTGTGGATCTCTGTTTACAATCCTGCATGTTGAACCTCTTCAGAATGTTCATGACATATTTTTCTTGTGTCATTGTTACACTGTCATCACTCTGGTTAAAATCAATGCCTAGAAAATGTCCAAGTCTCCCCAAGTCCTTCATTTTAAACCTTGCTGTAAGCATGTTCTTCACCACATTCAATGCATTTACATCACTTGCTGCAATGATTAGGTCATCAACCCAAATAACCATGATGACCTTATCACGCTTTGTTTCTCTGACATAAACACAGTGATCAGTCTGGTTCTGGGTAAAATCATTTTGAGTCAAATAATCATTTAAAAATGTGTTCCAATTTCTGCCCGATTGTTTCAGCCCGTACAGTGACTTCTGTAGTTTACATACCAACGTTTCCTTTTTGTGAGATCTGACCACATAACCCTCAGGCTGTTCCATATATATCTCACAGTCTATTGGTGCATTCAGATAGGCAGTCTTTACATACATCTGGTGCAAAATCAAATTTTCCTGAGCTGCTTTTTGCATTATTACTCGGATACTTGTGAGGTTGGCTGTGGGGGAAAATGTCTCCTCATAGTCAACACCCATTTTTTGATGTACCCCTTTGCAACGAATCGGGCTTTATACTTCTCAGACCCGTCAATATTATTTTTGATTGCATACACCCATCTACCCCCCACTGCTCTCTTACCCTCGGGCAAGCTGGTTAGGGTGAATGTCTCGTTCTCTCTAAGTGACTGCATTTCCTCATTCATTGCTTGGATCCACTCTTTGGATCTTTCTGAGGCTACTGCTTCTGTAAATGAGACAGGTATGTTGCAAATAACTCGATAACAGTAATCAATGTTACTCTGGACTTGATCGGTCTCTTCAGACACATAATTAGATACTTTGCAGTCTGTGTATCTGTCTGGCATTCTTTTCTCTCTCACAGGGTAACGTCTGGGCTCAGGCTCGGGCTCAGGCTCAGGCTCACTCTCGCCCTCTACTGGCTGTATTTCATGTGGGCTAAATTCTGATTGGTCACTGATCTCCTCAGATTTTAGTCCACCTGGAACACTGTAACCTGGACTTCTTGACTCGTATTGCACAACATCAGAAGGTGTAAAGTTAGTCTGTGTCTGCTGCTCTACACCAGTTTTAGTCACAAATTGTATCAGCCTGTGCTTCTGCACTTTCTTAGTGTCAGGAAAATAGACAACATATGCCGGGCTGTTTTTGTCAAATCCGATAAATACACACTTTTCACATTTTGGATCCAGTTTCCTTTTGTCTTGTTTATACACAAAACACTGTGACCCAAACTTCTGCATTTTAGATAGATTAGGCCTCCGACTAAGTCCTTCAAATGGAGTCTGCTTTGTGCGTTTATTATAACATCTGTTTCTCACAATAGCGGCGGTCTGTACCGCATGAGTCCACAGTTCTTTTGGAAGACCACTGTCAATCAACATGCATCGTGCCATATCAAAAAGCGTACGCCAATTTCGCTCGGCAGTGCCATTCTGGTGGGGAGAGTAAGGGGCAGACCTTTCATGTTTGATCTTATGTCTAATTAGTAGGGCCTGGAATTCTTTCCCCGTGTACTCTGTACCGTTATCCGACCTGAAGCACTTGACTTTGCCATATGGAGCCGTATGAGCTAGAAACTTTTCAGTAGCAAGTACAGTGTCACTTTTATTCTTTAAGAAATATACGAAAACCGCACTGGAAAAGTCGTCAGTGAAGGAAAGCGCATATCTGTGACTGTCTCTAGACTCCGGGTGAATTGGCCCTGCTAAATCAGTGTGCACTAGCTCCAGAGGCCTTTTAGCTCTTATATCTGGTTGTCTGTTTCTAGTCTGGAAAAACTTCCCCTGCATACACACTTTACACTGTGGATGTTGGTTTGGCGACCCTTTGATTTTCATACCATCAACAACACTTTGTAACCTCTGGATATCATCATAGTTACAATGTCCTAAAATCTCGTGCCATGTTTGCATGTCAAAACACCCCTTGCATTGGTCATCCCATTCATCGTTATTTGCAGTGTGTAAATAATACAGTCTGGAATGTTCGTGAATGTGGAATTTCGTACCGTCTTTGTGAATCAGGCAGTCCTTCCCGTTCTTGAACGTCACAGTGGCCCCGTTCAAGGTGGCTGCTTTCACCGAAAATATGTCTTGTGGATAGGAAGGGATGTACAGTGCTCGTCTCAGCGTGGTGCGCAGATGCCTGCCACAGCTTCGAACCTCTGGAACTTTGCGAGATCTGTAATTATATGCGAGGTTGCCCCGCAGTCGACCATCAGGCCCTTCATGTCGACACCTGCAGACCCCTCGCTCGCTCTGAAAGCGTTCTCCTGGTCTCCTGCAGACTCCTCGGAGGCTTTGTGAGCGTCGTCCCGGTCTTTGCGCTGTTTCCTCCTGCAGGTGGTGTCCCGGTGCGTAGTGCTCCTGCAGTAACTGCACCACAGTCTGCGCTGACAGGCTCTGGCCAAGTGCCCCTTCAATCCACATTTGAAGCACGTTAAATCCGTTGCGGTCCTGTCCGCTCCTCGGTCCGCTCCTCGGTCACCCGTAACAGCAGGTCTCCATCTCTGCTGCACACGCGCTTTCATCACGTTATCTTCCGCTGCACAACCCCGCATCCTCTCAGTGTCCTCGTAGCTGCGTAACTTTGTTTTGAACTCAGCAAAAGATATGGACTCATCGAGCTGTGTGACATGGATCACAAACGGTTTGAAGAGTTCGGGAAGCCCTTTGAGGACCATCGCGACCAGGGGGGTAGCACCAAATTCTGGGCCCCGGGTACAAACAGTCTCAATGGGCCCCCACTACACGTTTCTTATATATAATATATGGTATTGCCTGTTTTTGAACCACCATCACTGGCTAGTAGATGAACAATTCTTTTCCTTTGTTTATCGGTGAGATTCTCTGGCCATAATCCTGGGTCCTCTGACAATCCCTCATCATTATTACTCTGTCTCTTGGTGTCATCTCTTTCCTCCTCAATCCTCTCCACATTCTCATCACTTTCGCTTTCCCTTTCATCACTTAATTCAGTTTCTACATCCTCTTCTAATTCTGCCTCTGCCTCTGCTACATGGACACAATACAGACAAAAATGATATAGAATTAGTGTATACAGTAAAACTTATAAAGTAATAACTTACTAACTTATTGAAAACAGTTCAATCAGTGACTGATAAATGCTCACCATGCCTCACTGTCAAACCCTCACTACTAGTGCCTTCATCTGGCCATGATGCTTCTCTTCCTGAAACTGAAATAAAGTAGCTTTAATGGGTTGCAAACAGATACTATATTCCATCATTACAGTGTATAGCTATTACGTATATGCCTGCATGCCTTTATGTGATATGTGTATATGGCTATTCATATAAAATATATAGTATATCTTATCTTATTTGTATGGACCATGAGTAGGTAAGTTACTTATTTGTTATTGTACAAATATACAACAAAATACTTTTTATGGTTCATTATTATCCACCAATTTAGACTTTGTGGCAAAATTCAAATCGATGCAATCTTTTTTGAAATAAGCCTATTCCATTTTCAACTAAACACCTGTGTCTAGCCTTACTCCGCCCACATGAACATTTGACATTTTTCTGTAAAAATGGCACCAGTGGAGAAGGGGGGCTTACAGTTGGGCATGGTCTGGGCTGTGATTGTCAGTTGTCATTTCTGGCTTAAAAGCAATAGTTTACACACCAGAAAGTCTAATTTCATCCTTGTTTACACACTAAGATAATTGTAGAGCTAGAAACCTTTAGACCATTAGACTTATTTACATTATTTTGACCACTAGATTTCACCAAAAAACTCCAACACGTGCGGGGCGTGTGATTTGTATGGTTATAACTAGATGATCCAATGCAGAGGCCAGTGAGTGACCCGTGACTTATGACTGCAAGACTCACGGACGGACAGATTATGACAATAGTGGGAATATAGGGTACAGGGTTGTACATGAAAATAACTCTTTGCTGCCTGCCTTTGAAGGAGAAGTGGACAGCAGTGTGTGTGAGCTCCCTTTACAGCTGCGCATCTGTGTGTCACTCTGGATAAAGTTTTTTTTTACCACGTACACGGCACACTGTTAGCTCTCCGTGAGTTTAGAATACAGAAACAAATGTCTCTGGGTTTTCTCCTGATGTGGCCTTAACACGTCTCTATATACTCACCTCTCGTGTGGAAGAACTGAGTAAGCAATTGCTTGCCCTCATTACACTTTTTCTCCCTGTCCTGTCTTTCTTTTCTTTTCTGAAATCCTGATTTTCCTTTCTTTGGAAAAGACATTTCTATTTTTCCCGCTTCTGCCGCTGCTCAAACAAATCAACTCGCTGCAGCGGCAGCAACACAGCAACAAGCGCACATGTGGGTCGTACCATTTGATCTTTTGTAAGGGGGTGGCAGGGCCCTGATATAGCATACACATTTGTTTTTAGAGGAAAACTGAGGTTAAAACGTTGCTTATTTTTATACAGGGCCCCTTTCATTCAAATTGTAATAATATGAATATACCACAATGCCTAATACATATAAATATAAAGACACACTTTAGAGGGCCCCTCCCCGCCTTGGGCCCTGGGTACTCGGTACCCTTTACCCCCCCAGTCCGACGCCCATGATCGCGACCAATAGTCCGTCACTCAGAGCCTCACCGGCATTCCTCAGCGCTGTGATGGCTGTCTCTGCGCGAATCACATATTCAGTCACACTTTCATTCTCACTCTTATGAAGTGACGTCAGCTCGGTATAAAGGCTGATTATACGTGGCTTTCCTTTGCCTTGATAATAGTCTCTCAAAATCCCCAGGGCTTTTTGTCCGTCATCGACTGCTTCCCGCATTACCAATGACAAGCTTTTATCATCCAGGAATTGAATGAGTTCTGCGTAAGCCTCTGCATTTTTGGCGTCCTGTTCAAGTCGCTCCTCTGCGTCTCCCGCATCGGGTACATTGAGAATAATGTCTTTCAGGCCTTGCAAACGGAGGTGGCCCAAGAACTTTGTCTCCCACAGTTCATAATTTTTCTCATCTCCATCAAACAACAGGCGAGACCAGCGGCTTGGATCTCCGACCCGTTTACTCATGGTTACTCTGAGTCACTCTGGGTTACTCTGGGTTACTCTGGGTTACTCTGGGTTACTCTGGGCCCATAACCTGTTGGCAGAAGTAATCCAGCAGCAGATTCGCGTGGTGAACCCAGATGAAGAGACAAGAGACAGATATATGGAGGAAATAGAACTCGGGACACACTGCATTCCATTCATTCCATTACGCGCAACCAGCGTCAGCTGCGGCGCTGGACAATTTATTAACCACGCCCATTGGTAAACAGGAAAAGAAAACAGAGTTATCCAAATGTAAATAAAACAGTCTTCTCAACATAAATACAGGCGTAAACATTCATAATAATAATAATAATAATTATAGTGAGAGCACCAACTCAACACCCTTTTTATACCACAGTATTTTACCTGACTGTAAAGTGACTGTACATTTTCCATTTTAAGGACAAAAGAATAAGCTATGAATTACATTGGAATTACTTGATTGGGGAACTACATGTTTTTGTCACTTGTGGACAGTGTAACTAAGGGTACTGTCACATTGTAAAAAGTATTAATTTAGTTACAATAAGGTAAAAAAAAGAGAGGGACAATCTAACTCAGCTCTCAACCCTAAGTAATGTTTCGCCATCAAAATAAATAACTTGCACATTTATAATGAAGTTATTTATTTTGATGGCGAAACATTACTTAGGGTTGAGAGCTGAGTTAGATTGTCCCTCTCTTTTTTCAATCATCTGTCAAAAAGCTGCAGTAAAGTAGCAGAGGTTACTGCAATATACAACTAGTGATAGATCTCAACAGTTTTGAGCTTTAAAGGTTTCCTCAACCATTTGGTAGTGCATCTTTTGGGCATTTCACTTTGTTTTAGGCACTTTTACCATCAAGCTGCAACTCAAACATTTGGTAAAGGCCTATAATAAAATCAATCTAGGAGTTCCTGCATCTTAGAAAATCCAAAAGAGAAGAATGGCCCTCTCCGGTACTTCAGTTGATTGACATGTGGATTAGCCAATCGCAAGTGTTTATGTTTCAGGTTTATTTGACAGCTAATTCGAGCCAATCAGAAGTTAACATTTTCTAGCTGCATTGAGAGCACTACGTTCGTTAAGTTTATCATTTGCAGAGTGTCTTTCGGACCTCGCGGTTGTTCTCCGTGTGCGTTAGAAAAAAGTGGTTGGAATGAAGTCACATAAATGAACCCTGCTTTTCTTGTACACTGTTTATAAGCCTTTTATAACATAAGTGAACTGCAGATATATTTTAGGAACATTTGAATGTATACTCCCTTGATTTGAGTGCTGCTAAGAGCTAAAATGCTAACTACTGTGTGCTAAATGTTATTGGTGTGCTGTTCTTGTTTACATAATGAGTTAGTTAAGTTGCTCATTCTAATTTAGATTTTCTCTGTTATTTGCAGGACCACACACACACACACACACACGTTGTAAATCAGTGTGCAATGAAGAACTTTTAATAAACCAAAAAACTGGATAATCTCTACACAGTGCATTCTCACCGATGTTCCCTGCGGTCACAATCCCAATTACAAACCAAACAAACATGCTCTCACCACAACACTTAAGGAACTAGATTTTGTGGTCTGAACATCAGGTACCCCAGCTTTTAGTCTCTATAGTTTTACTACATTACACGGCCCAAAAAATAGCCCGTTTTGATCGGTCTCACATCGCTGAGGACTTTTTTTAAAAGGCTAAACAGATGCATGAAGGAAAAGACGAAAAGTAGCCAACGCACTGGGGCTTTCATTGGTCTGTGTAAAGATTTGGGAGCACGGGCAGCAGAGCCTCTCCACACTCTCTGTCCAAACTGATCATCCAGACAAAGGCATGCTTTCTCTCCCAACTCAAGACACAAGCCCATGTGCTAGTGTGACGAGAGATTATGTTTGAACCCACAGTTCTCAATCTAAACACGCTATGTTTGTTGCATTGGGCTTTGATCTGCAATATATTCAAAATCTGTAAAAAGTAAAGAATAAATAAAAATACTAAAACATGAACCAACATAGGATGATTTGTGTGCGTCTAGAAAAGTGCAGGAGGGGATCAAATCTTTTTTTTTTTATATGGGTCAAAACATCAAGGACTAGCCCATACAACATTAGAAGAGATGAGTACATTATGTCCAGTTGGCCTTAGCAACCATCTTAGCAACACGTCTGCCCCAGTAATAAATATCCATATTAAGAAGTTTGCTCCAACTTGCTTATATTCACATCAGCTTCTTCCACATTCGACAAATAAATGGATGAGGACCACTCTCCACCCCAACAACATGGTCTATGGATGAGACTAATTTGCAAAAAATAAAAAAAGGAAAACACACACACATAGGAACATGGAATGATGCAGTCAAAAAAGAAGTCTGAAGTGAGCTGGTGGGGAATTGATGCCTTGGAGGAGAACAAATGTTACTAAAATAGTCCTGACTCATTAGCAGTGAAGTCATAAGTACTTTCACTCAATGACAATGTGCATATTCCTCTGAGCTG